CGTCAAGGTGTGCAAAATAGTTAAATGTAATGGAAGGGAGAAAATATTGCTCAGCTGCGCGCACACCGGTGCAGTAAATCTCCTCAAGTTAGAACGCAATTGTCTTCAATCTTTTTATTATTTTTCTGTTTTGTTTTCACAAATCAGAAGCAGCCGCACTCCAACAATGTGGTGCTGAAGACAAACGACGTAATTCCTTATTATCTTAAGAAGTTCGATAATAAAGAAGAAAACCCACCCTTGGAGATTGTGATTTAATCGCCGTATGACTACATTGTGCGACACACAACAGACAACATGACTGACTGTTGGGCCCGATGGCTGGCCGAATGGTTGCTTCCAGAGTTGTTGCTTACAATTACTCTCGGGCTTTATGTGACAGGATTGAACGGACGGACAGACAGACATCGAATGTCATTACCGTTTGTGTGTAAATAAATACTTGAAACGTAGTAAGAGTATGTGTGTTGGTTGTATAGAGGTATGGGTGCATGTTACCTTTCGCCTTCTGCCCAAATACACACATTTCAATCCCTGTATGTGCATTTCTTGTAATTGAATGGTGATTTTGGCTAGGTTTTAAAATTATTGTTGGTGTATCATAAAAATGATTGTCACCTTTTATTTGCGCATGTGCACCGTTGCCCCTATAGAAACTCAACTATAAACTGCGTACGCTATTCCACAAACGTATTCATTGGGTGCGTAAACACAGTTGCGCCTTTCGGTGTTGAAAAAATGCGGGTAACAGACATATTTTTGGTGGCTACGAACGTTCATAAATATATGTAGATTCATGCCCACCTAAATGCCATTAACCTCTTCATACACCGGTTCTTCTCGTTAAATTGGTGAACATTTTTAATCAAGTTTTTGTAGCAAAAAGGATACGGGCATGGCTATAAATGTGTGATACAACATGCTACTTATCATATTCTAAGGTTCTGAGTTAAAGTTGAATTTAAAATCTTGCTCTAGAGAATTTTATACTTACAAATAAAAGACGGATTTACTTATTATAAGTTAGATATTGAAGATTCGACATATAAACGAATTTATTAGTTTAACCCCAATAGAACGGCTTAACTACATTTTCCAAAATAATTGGTTTCGAGGGTTTACTATTAAGGTCCTAGACACCTTTGTTAACCAAAATTGTATTGCCTTTCGCAAATGCGTTTAGTTACAGAGCTGAGCATATTTGAATACCATCTTCATGGTGTAGGGGAAAAATCAATATTATCAACATTGCTGTTTAATTTGAAGACAAAGATTAATTCAACTGTGTTCAATATTTATTGTATTTCCCATTAATAAACTTCCGCCCAAGGTATATTTAATAAGGTAGCCGCATCGGCCCAGCTGTTGGACAAATAAATGTCAAAAATGTTGTTGTAATGTTGAACCAAAAAATTAAAAAGCAAAATTATAAATTAAAATCTCCGAATTTCGAATAGATTTTTTGGCAATACTTTTATTAACATTTTCTACAAGAATTTGTGTAAAAAAATCTTGTCAATCTGTTTTGGCAAAATATTTTTCACATATCAAAATACAACAACCGATGTTTGTTGTAGAAATTCGCCGATGCGGCTACCTTGTATATCTACCTTGCTTCCGCCTATCGAACTGTAGCAAATATCCAAACCGTTCTTATTTGTTCGTGATTGTCATGGCTGCAGTTAGAGCGAAATTAGAATTAATTCCGAAAGATTCGTCGAATTAGATAAACTGTGTACAATAGAGTTATTCTAGGCACACACATTATCATAATTGGTTATTCCATAATAGCTAATGTCCAAACCTATCTTACAGAACATCTTTTACGAGGGCAGTTCGGAAAGTTTTTAGCCTAGCACAAAAAGCGCGATATAAACAGTAAAAAATTAAGTGTTTTGAAAACTTCCATCTCTGTTATGAACACATGTTAAATTTTGTTTCTATCTTGCAACTCCTTCATAAAAAACAGGTGTTCAAAAAGACGCATCCGTCTTTTTTACAATGGAGTTGCCAGATCGAAACAAAATTTAACATTTGTTTATATTCTTAGAAGAATATGTGCGGAATTACCTTAAAATGGTATAGCCAAGCAGCATGTAGCATTTCTTGGTTTGGGCACCATGGAAATACATCTGTCCATACACTAAAGTGGGCCACACACGTAAAACATGTGCGTTCGATCGGTGTGAATCGAAGCAATGTTTGACGTGTGTGGTACGGTGTTCACACCGATTTGCCGGTGCGCACACCGATCGAAAGAAATTAAAAATTTTTAATTTTTCGTTGTGCGAGGCGCACATGATTGACGTCTGTGGTCTGGTGTGTGGATATTTTCTCATTTGTTGCAAAATTTCGTGGAGTGCGGATCAGCGGATAATGTCAAACATATGCAAAAAAAAAACGTTTTGGAAGATTTTTTTGATGTTTTTTACACATATTCTAGAGTGTGGCAAATAAAAATATTTATCCCGGAATAAAATAAAAGTATTTAATAAATGTATATTAAATAAAAATATTTGGTATTTTTTCCGTCACCACTATCGCTGTCCATCTTAACGCTTTAAAAATAAATACGAAATGAAGTTTTGTGGATCCGTTTGACGTGTGTGAGCTAGGAGCTTCACACCGATCGAACGCACATGTTTGACGTGTGTGGCCCACTTAAAGGGAGAAACACAACACACAGAGGACTTTGAAGCAGTTGGCTTTCTTTAATGTAAAGTAATAAATAAGAACGGCGTCCAAAATCAAGATTGACTGAGACTTCCCTTTATAAATTGACATTTTATACAATGTCAACTTAACATGCCCTGCTTGAATCCTCGTATGTGTTTCCCTCTTAACAGTAATGAATATAATACAAGGTAAATAATTCTAAATTTCATATGGAATTACTGATCATTATGCCTCATACATTATTTGTACAGAATGTACAATGGCCAAATCTCCCAACGCGAAGATAACCGATTTTATTGCTGTTACCAAAAAGTGGTTCCGATATGAAAAGGACCCGCAGCGGTAACTCGCAGTCACAATAAATTGTCAATCTGTTAATTATAGTTTAGTGCTAATTAGATTTTATCATACTGAAGTATAATCCTGCCAGTTTAGTTTCACATATGATAATTATATACAATATGTTACAATATATGTATGTTACAACATAAATTTAAATTTAATTTCTTAAGGGCCCCATAATGCCGTACATCATTTATTATAGTATGTGTTATTTTTTGAAAGTTTATTTATGTATGTGTGACACACACAATGCATGAAGAAAATCAAAATAGTTTTAATTTTGAAAGTGAAACCATTTCAATCTGGTGAATAATATTCATTTTCAAAGTTGTCAGTAAATAATTTTGTGTACAAAAATAATAGAATTGTGATGGAATAAAAAAACAACTGAATTTACGACTCAAAATGCAATTTTTGGGACAAAAATTTTGGAATAATGATTGAAGAGTTTGCCATACACTAGTCAATCTCACATATACACAAAGGGGTTCATCGGCATGATGGCATGATTTATAGTGTATGGGGCCCTTTAGAAGGATGATATATTTTTTTTTATATTCCATTACAAACGGATTAAATGCACACTTGTCACACCACCATTTTTCCACTAGAGTGTAACGGCCAATCTTTCGTTTGTTTGTTTGTTTTTTTTTTTGACATGAGGGACGGTTTTTTATTTGAAAACACCCCGAGTTTGTTTACATTTTCCCATTTGGCTCGTTATCATCAGAGAAAAAAGTACAAATTATTGAGTAAACTAACGAACCTATTATATGTTATCTAAAAGTTGTCTAACAGCTGCCAATGTTAATGTTGTACTTGGGTATCCCTATTTGTTTTGATTCAGTTGATTCCGTCCGAATTTCGACCTGGGTATCCCTAACTCATTAGTTTTGTTTTGATTATATTTTTCCAGTTACGCTTTGAGACCTATTTCTTAAAATTTTGCAACACCGACCAATATTAGAAGAGAACGCCGACGATTTTTGAGAATGCCGAGAATGACAATCAACAACAATGACATTGAAAAGCGCGTCATTTCTTTCTTAAATTTCGCTCTTTTTTCAATTTCATGATGTCCATGCACCTTATTCGTGGGAAACATCAAGTAATGTTTCGTTTAGGCAAATTTGATTGATTCCGATGCAGCCATGTCCGTTTGTCCCATTTGTCATTTTGCGAACCTTGGACATGTACAACCAATCAAATTAGCTTTATACCTTGAATTCTCATTGAGTATATAACTTGACACATGTTTCCAAATGGCAATCCCTATTTTGTTTGGCCGTTTAACATGACATGTTACCTAACAGAGCCACCTAACAGCTGGCAATATGTAAACATTTCCGTCAGTCTGATAAGAGTGTTATAGCGAAATAGTAAATAAAAAACTAAATGGTGGAAACTACACACTTCAGATATAAATGCCACCAAGGCAAAACGAAATAAGCGCAGATAAAATAATTGAAGTATTATTTATTCTACACAAGCGTCCTTTATCAGTGGAAGAAATCTCGGACGAGGTAAGACACACCGCATCTTAACCCAATACCCCTCCCTCCACATTTCCATAATGTAATAGAATTTTGTAGACGTCACTTCTATTGACGGAGTTGTTGTGGCATTAGAAACAAAGCCGATTTATGAAAGAGGTGGTGGTGCCGTGGTTTTCTCAAACCCAGAAAGCGGTAGCATTTCTTGTTTACTGCCAGTCTGCCCGCCTTGTCTTGCATTGTGTGGTGTGGTCTGGCTGGTTTCATTGCTTCATTTGTTTGTTACTCGCTCCAAGAAAGCAAGAGCTTAAAGACAACGTCAAACTTGCTTATGAATCAGTTACAAATCAATTATCAAAGCGAGCGGTTGGTCGGCCATTGCAGCACACCTGTCTCCACCACACGAACTGTTGATATTTTAAGAAAACTAAAAGATAACAAAACCTAACACCGTTGACTGTTTGATTTGTGTCTTCTATAGCCGTTATCATGACTGACTACGCCGAATTGCATCAACGATTGCAGAAGGTTGGCCAAGAGCATCTTCTCAAATTTTGGGATGAGCTGAACGAAAGCGAGCAAAAGCAATTGGTTCAGGACATATCCGAATTGGATTTGAATGAACTGAAACAATATTTTGATCGGGCCACAACTTCCCTTTCCCAAAATGGTCTCAAATTGGACGACCGCTTGCAGCCACTGCCGGATGATAAATTGATCAGCATATCTCGAGCTCCTGAGGAACTTTTGAACAATTATCGCGAGGAGGGATTAAAGCAAATATCCTTGGGACATGTTGCCGTATTGCTAATGGCTGGTGGACAAGGTAAGTGTTGGTTGGCTAAGGAAGACAAATAAAGTTCAGTTTAGTTCATTCACCCCATAATACTACGGCTTCTACCAATCATCATTAATGTCTTGTAATGCCTTGTTGTAATCTCAACAAGTTATTCTTGGCATTTCGAAAGCATTTACAAATAGTTGTATTTAAATTTGCATTCAAGTCACGCCTCAATCAAAACCACTCTTGTGTAACGAACAAGAATTTAATCTCGACAGAGGAAAACAAAGAGTTGCAGTTCCTTTCTAAAAACCTTGAACCTTTTTTGTTGCTTAATAACGATTGCTGTATATTCAAGCTGATGTTGGAATGCAGAAGTAATCATAACTTTTCCTACAATTTACTACCAAACCATATCTTAGTCATTACTCTTTTGTATGCTAGCTATGTAGCCAGTGCTACGTAGCAATAGATTTCTAGCGTAATGTGGGCCCACAATTTTCGTTTGTGTTTTGTTGTTGTTGCTGTCATTTCTTTATGTTGTAGCGTAACACGTAAACATTGTTATTAGGTAGGAGACCACAAGCAATTGCCCAGCCGCCGATGAAAAGAAAAGAGTGTGATATTTTTGATAATATTTTACAAAATTTGTCAATTAAATACAATCAGAAACAAACATCTTCGTCAGTATCTGCTAAACATTAACATACAATATTCAATATGTGACGATACACCTCAAAATTCAAGTTCTGCAAGCTGTGGCGTTAACAACAATAACAGTGCCATCAGCAGCATCATCATGAAACAAGTTTTAAAGGTCAAATGAAATCGAAAACTGAACCATTTTTTTCTTTAAACCACTTTTTTAGTTAACCCAATTATTGAGTGTGGCTTTTTATTCTCTTTTAGGAACCAGATTAGGATTTGCCTACCCCAAAGGCATGTATGACGTTGGCTTGCAATCTGGTAAAACACTTTTCCGTATCCAAGCGGAACGTATTATAAAACTTGAAGAATTGGCATTTGAGGCCACCGGAAAGAAGGGCACTATTACATGGTACATTATGACTTCGGAGCATACCCTACAACCCACACTGGAATATTTTGAGAAGAACAATTACTTTGGCCTTAAAAAGGAGAATGTTGTTATGTTCAAACAGGGTTCGTTGCCATGCTTCGAATATGACGGCAAGATAATGCTTGATGAAAAACACCGTGTAGCCCGTGCCCCAGATGGCAATGGAGGAATATATCGTGCCTTGAAAACTCAGGGAATTCTTGACGATTTGACCAAGAGGGGAATTTTATATTTACATGCCCACAGTGTAGACAATATCTTGATCAAAGTAGCAGATCCCGTATTTATTGGCTACTGTGTGCGAGAGAATGCTGACTGCGCTGCCAAAGTTGTGGAAAAATCTTCACCTACCGAAGCCGTGGGTGTGGTTGCCATAGTTGATGGTAAATATCAAGTAGTCGAATATAGTGAAATTTCAGCAAAAACAGCTGAAATGCGTAATCCCGATGGTCGCCTTTCCTTCAGTGCCGGCAATATATGCAATCACTTCTTCACTGCAAACTTCCTTCAACAAATTGGTTCAACCTATGAACAAGAATTAAAATTACACGTGGCCAAAAAGAAGATACCATTCATCGACAACTCAGGCAAACGTATTAAACCGGAGAATCCCAATGGCATTAAAATCGAGAAATTCGTATTTGACGTCTTTGAATTTGCCCAGAAGTTTGTAGCCATGGAAGTGCCCAGAGATGAGGAATTTAGTGCTCTGAAGAATGCCGACTCGGCGGGTAAAGATTGTCCCTCAACAGCACGCAGTGATTTGTATCGGCTACACAAGAAATATGTAGAAGCAGCCGGTGGCATTGTCCACGGAGATGAATGTGAAATATCACCATTTGTCAGTTATGCCGGTGAAAATTTGGCGCCTTTGGTTGAGGGAAAATCATTCACAACACCTTTATATTTACGCAGTAATCGTGATACAGCCGCTCATCTCTAATTATCAATCATGCTTTCAATGTTTGGACTAAGAAATTATAATTGAATATTTCGATACTTAAAATTCCATTTACTTAACTGTTTTATGTATAGTTTGTTAAATTGTTCTAAACGATAATGTGCAATTTCTCCAGATTTTTGTTGTATTTGTATGTGTTTTTTTTATGTTGGTGTACATTATTAGTTGTTATAAATAAAAATTAATGTGAAATTTCTAAATTGTGTATCTCATATATATTTAGTAATGAAAACTTATATTGTGTAGTTTTTATTATTTCTAGGAAAAAAGTTCGATACGATAAGAAGTACCATATCGAAATATGTTATCTATTTTTTTGTTGCTGTTGACAGATTTAAGTAATATCTTTAAATGAATCGAGAAGATGTCGGTTTTCTAGAAACAATTTCTAAGTTCAATGCACTAAATCAAGAAAAAATATAAACAAATATAAATATGGGATATTTTTCTTTGAAATATGGAATGGGGAAAATGACATTAACAAATTCTAATCTAAAAATCTATTTCTGCTTGAAGGTTGCTCTGGACATCTTCTGTTAGCAACATAGTAAAGAAATACCATCCCATCTTTCCATCTTACACGTTATAGAATTACGTATAGGTCTGTACCATACATGGTTGCATGTGCTTACTTGGTGGCAATAAATCCATGTTGATCAACAACGTGGCATAGCGACACTGTGTATACACGGTTACTCTCTTTTACTCCTTCATATACCTAAGTTGAATACTGTCTTGAAAAACCATACCATCACTTGAAAGTAGATAGAGGCAGATATGGTCCAGTGACGTACATGAAATACATTTATCATAAATACTCGCGAAACATATCAGTGGTCATTTACGGAAGATTCAACCAATGCACACGTTTTAGGATGGACCAGTAAGTGTATAGATGGATTCTGACAGATTCATTTGATATAGTTTAAAATGTTATTTGATGTCACGAATTTCTAAGGGATTGCAACGGAGGCCATCTGGCGGTCATTAACAAGCGATTCGTTTATTTTGAAAATGATTTAAGTCCATTTCAGGTTTTGATACAAATCATGGTTTTTGTCATCATCATGTTTAAGGGCATAAAGCAACAAACCAAATTAATATCTCTTAACAATATTTTTGAAACAAATCAAACCAAAACCTTTAAATGTCTCAATATAAGAAAACTGGACTTAAAGCATTTTCAAAATAAACGGTTCGAACTATCATGTATTTTAGAAGCCCTAATGTTATTACCGCTCATCTCTCCGAATAAAGAACGTATTCAATACCGATGTGATTGTAATCTGGCATTCTTAGTTCGTGATGTCTAAAAAATTTTGCACAGAAAATGCTCAATGTAGGTCCATGTTTCGACATATCCGCCAGCTTTTAAATCAAGGAACGTTTGGGGTTGTATTTACATTCTCCGACTTATATAACAGATTCTTTAAAAATATGAAAACGGAATCTTCTCCAAAAATTTGTTAAAATTCTAATAGGAACTTAAAAAAATACATTTGTTTCAGTTATCCAAATTGTTCTTAATTGAAGAACTACATTATAGATACCGAGCCACAGAAACCACCAATAGGGTAATTTTAGATTACATTTTATTTTACACTACAAAATTATGTGGATTTTTAAACGTGTTGTTATCTAGATATATACAGTACATAGGTCCATCGATTATTTAAAGTTGTTTCATTTGTATATATCGGATTGTCTAATTAGAAAAACACAAAACTTTTCGTTCAGTCTAAATTAATAGACTTGAATACAATTATAATAAAAACGTTATATATTATTTTTCTTTAATGAAATCAATTAATTTTTGCATACACATTTACCTGTTTGCTTGCCAATAATACTCTACAACTTAATTGTTGTTAGATATGCAACTAAAAAACACGCATGTTTGCCATTGATTTGATTTTTTCGAAGGCTGCCTTTTTTCATTGATACCATTTTAGCGTAGTTAAAATCAACATTTCCTTTTTGTTTTCTTATTCAATACTTCTAGTCGCTGTCCTTTTTAAACACTTTTGTTTACTTCTAAACTTTTAAATCATTATTGTATGTACTATGCACAAACCGCACTTTTTTTTATTTATGAACACAAAATAAACTAATTAATGATTTTATTAAGGCCTCTTTTTTATTCAATAGAAAATTAAAACCAAATATTCACAGAACTTATCATGTCCACAACCAAACGAAAACACAACTGAAATTTGGCGCAAAATCCTTTAACCCAAAGCTTTTCTTTGGAGTTGTTCACTTTGTTTCATAACGGAAATACAATTCTAATATTGCTTCAATATTTTCCAACAGGGAGAATTTAATTCACAATTCTTGTAAAACATTATTCTTTTTAAATTAGAAACAATTTAAAGTTAATAGAAAACGATATAACATAACTCAATTAACTCTTTATTTACTATACAAAAGCTGATTGCTGTGAAATTTGAAATTTTGGTGAGTAATCATCCCAAACGATTACTCGATTCACTGTTCGTTGACATTATAAAGAGAAACGTCAAATTATTTACCACTACCATCAACAAACAGACGTACACGAACAAAAACGAAGAACACGTATACGAACACGAAGCCACTTGACACGAACCACTGGCTCCAAGTGCTGTTTCTTGGTTGTATTTTGTTCATTCAATTTTAAACGTCGGTACTTTAAGTTGCGTGCTCTCGTGCGGTGGAGTTTGAAGAGATTTGTTCCAGCCCAAATTTGACGAAATCAATTTTGGGGGAATATATTTCACTTTCTATATTACTGACTGGTCGGTGGACGTGTACGAAGAATAGTTAATAAACATTTAATAGAAACGCTTTAAATACAAAACAATAATAAACCATGGGAAGTAAGTAAACAGCAAACAAACAAGTGAAGAATTTCTAACAAAAAAAGATGTAAATTTCGAATGATGGATGGATGGAAGCCTGGCTGCCTACACACAAATTTGCTTACGTATACAGACTGCCGGTCGGTTGCCTGTTAGAGAGAAGATATACAATTGTGAATCCGGCCTTTTTTCAATAAAAGCAAAAATGTCATCCATCCATGCATCCCGCAGTGCATTTTACATACAGTGCTCCTTTTTTGGTGACGTGTAAACTAACATTTCCATTCTTTCGTTTTACAGTTAAATTCCTCGAAGTCATAAAGCCCTTCTGCAGTATACTGCCAGAAATTGCCAAACCCGAACGCAAGGTAAGTCAGAAAACAATCAACAATTATAAATAACAACAAAATAATATTAGTTTAATTAATGAAATTAATCGCGGTTATTGGGAAACCTAGTTAAATTGTCATTTTCTAACCGCCCAAACTCTCTTTTGAATGTCTCAACTTTCTATTTGTCCATAAATGTTGTTGGTCGAAGTCGTTGTAGTAGATGAAGAGAAAATACAAAGCCAGAGCCACGCAGGCAGAATCAGATATAAAATTATAAATTTAAAATAAGTTAACAATAATAGTTGCAACATTCAAATAATTATAAGTTCATTAATAATTTGTTACATTGCATTCATTTGTTGGTAAAGTAAAACCTATAAAAAAGTTATACTTTCTTATTATATCTTGCTCATTCTCTTTTTCTCCCTCTCTTTCATTTTGACATTTTTCATTTGCTTCATTTTGACATTTGCCTCACGTTGACGTATCAACGTGTACACTGTCAGCCGAATGCAAGTTCGTTCCTTCGTGCGTTTCTCTTGTACGAGGCCCATTTATTTACACTTGGTTTGTTGTTGTTTCGATTGTTTTGCTTACGTAGCACACACAACCAACCAACCACTTGTCAAAAGTCGAGGCTATCAGCGTAGACATTTCGAAGGGCCTCTAATTCGAAAGTTGAGGGATAATTGTAAACACTGGCATGATCTAAATTGTACAGATTTAATTAATACAACTTATGTGTATTTTTTTGATAGGACTTTTTTTTAATTAGGTCAAATTTTAGATAAGTTTATTATTTTATTTATTTACTTTTCCTATTAACTATTTCAAAACAACTATAACAAGTTTTGGTGTAAAAACTCAAACAACATTTCGAATTTTTAAAGGGAAAATAAAGTACAGTAAAAACAATTAAATATATTTTGAAATATTTTAGCATCAGCATTATTCAAAAACTTATGTTTTTTCCGGACACGAAAGAGTATAAAATAACTCATTTAAAAAAAATACGTTATATGTTTTTTAACGTTTTGTCAGCCTTGTAACACTAGATTTTTCATATTTTTTTATTGTAATACGTTCTTTATACCAATACTCTTTATAAAATCACACATTGAGAACCACTTGTTTGTGAAAATGTTGTATTGTAACTGTTAGAAACATAATGGGTACAGCATAATGTTGTTTTCCAAACAGAACCAACATCTTTGTGATATCAACAAAACACATACCAAGCTATATGTGTATATTTATTGTTCTTCCTCTTTCATTATAGATCCAATTTAGAGAGAAAGTGCTATGGACCGCCATAACGCTCTTCATCTTCTTGGTATGCTGTCAAATACCTCTTTTCGGTATCATGAGTTCCGACTCAGCTGATCCCTTCTACTGGATTCGTGTGATCTTGGCCTCCAATCGTGGTACCCTCATGGAATTGGGTATTTCGCCCATTGTTACATCTGGCTTGATTATGCAATTGCTGGCCGGTGCCAAAATCATTGAAGTTGGTGACACTCCCAAGGATCGTGCTTTATTCAATGGCGCCCAAAAACTCTTCGGCATGGTCATTACTATTGGTCAAGCCATCGTTTATGTCATGACTGGCATGTATGGCGATCCATCTGAAATTGGCGCTGGTGTCTGCTTGTTGATCATCATTCAATTGTTTGCCGCCGGTTTGATTGTCTTGCTTTTGGATGAATTGTTGCAAAAGGGCTATGGTCTGGGATCCGGTATTTCGCTCTTCATTGCCACCAACATTTGCGAAACCATTGTATGGAAGGCTTTCTCACCAACCACCGTTACTACTGGACGTGGTACCGAATTCGAAGGTGCCGTCATTGCCTTGTTCCACTTGATGGCCACCCGCAACGATAAGGTCCGTGCCTTGCGTGAAGCCTTCTATCGTCAAAACTTGCCCAACTTGATGAACTTGTTGGCCACCGTTCTCGTTTTCGCCGTTGTCATATACTTCCAAGGTTTCCGTGTCGATCTACCCATCAAGTCTGCCCGTTATCGCGGTCAATACAGCAGCTATCCCATCAAATTGTTCTACACCTCCAACATTCCCATCATCTTGCAATCGGCCCTCGTCTCCAACTTGTATGTCATCTCACAAATGTTGGCTGTCAAATTCCAAGGTAACTTCTTTATCAACCTTCTCGGTGTCTGGGCTGATGTTGGTGGTGGCGGCCCAGCTCGCTCCTATCCAATTGGCGGTCTCTGCTACTACCTATCGCCACCAGAAAGTGTCGGTCACATCTTAACCGATCCCATTCACGCCATTCTCTATATCGTCTTCATGTTGGGCTCTTGCGCTTTCTTCTCCAAGACATGGATTGATGTATCTGGAAGCTCTGCCAAGGATGTAAGTATATCTATAATACGATTTCGACTGGAGAACATTGGTGCTAATACACATATGTTTTTCCCTTCTGTTTTGTTTCCACTAGGTTGCTAAACAATTGAAAGAACAACACATGGTTATGCGTGGCCATCGTGAAAATTCTATGATCCATGAATTGAACCGTTATATTCCCACAGCCGCTGCCTTCGGTGGTCTGTGCATTGGCGCTTTGTCTGTTTTGGCCGATTTCTTGGGTGCCATCGGTTCTGGCACCGGTATCCTGTTGGCTGTCACAATCATCTACCAATACTTCGAAATCTTCGTTAAGGAACAATCCGAAATGGGTGGTATGGGCACGCTGCTGTTCTAAGCATATCCAAAAATACAGCTTAAAGCAAAGTGTGTTTATGTTGTATGTTTAGATTCATAAGTAACTATCCGAAACATTTTACGCTTCGGATTTTTATAATAATTCTCTGTAATTTACTTACTTACCTATTACAACAACAGAAGTGAGGCGCAGAGGTGCGGGGTGACCCAAACGAAAATATGTTAGCCAAGTATTTCTAAATTTTATTAGAGATTTTTTAAACGATGAGATTTACAATTGTTCTATTCACACCGTCCGACCTCTGTAATAGGAGAGTTGTTTGTAAGCCTTGAGTTTTGTAACACCTCAAAACTTGTTTGTTGTTTCCTTCTGAAATTCCACTAATTTATTTGAGAAAGTCATTTCATTTAAAGCGATAAAATGCCTCCATCTACGCATGAAAATATATCATTGAATTTAAGTTTCTTTTTTTGTATCGATTAAGTAAGATTTACAAAAAAATAAAAACCCAACTAAGCTGTTGATACTTTTTTACTACAGTACAAGACAAAATGATTTTGACTTTCCTTTGCGATAATTGAGTGGCGGGCGGTCGGTCGGTCTGTATGCAAACCTAATATCTCTAAAAGTTTGTACATAGTATGATCTATTAATTTTATGTTTCTGGGGATATGTTTTCGTTTGTTTGGAAATCATCTTCACCTCATACGCAATCTGTAACAAACTCCTTACAATGAAAAAATTCCACCTTTAGTAATAGTTATTTTTATAATATTAAAAATAAGAAGTCGTCGACGTCATCCCTCTTTCCTTCCATTAATAAAAATCCTAAACAATTCACTAAAACCATGTTTGAGTTTTATGTGCTAAACAATTTCAAATGAGTTGACAAAACAATCTATCATCTCAATACAACAAACGATATATACTATTTGACTGTTTTCTTTTTTTTATTTCGAATTTTTAATATTTTTTCGGGAACTACGCCTCTTTCTAACTGCTAAAGACTGCTTCTAAATTTTTGTTTTTTATCCTTATCATTTAAAAACAGAAGAAATTTGGCAGTAGTTTTTGAGATAATATTAAAAATGTTTAGTTTATTTTTTATTATTATATACGATACAATGATTGTGAAATTATTACAGATAATAAACAAGCAACTAGGTTCAATATTAATTGTAATAAGGATTTGAAAAATAAAACAACAAATTATAAAATTTTATTGTATTTTTTAGTTTATAAATTCATATTAAAAGGTAAATAACCATGTCGTGGAAGAAGTATTTAGTTATTTTTTATCTTCCCTCTAAGAGTATCCTCCACTGCAGATTCTACCTGCATAATAACCGGTTTAGTTCAATACAGTGACCGTAGTCCTGAATTCCACAGTTGTATATTTAATATAGAAATCAACGATGACTTATTAAAAATCTTGTTCGTTTCACTCTGAACCTCAATTCTCTCTGAATTTTCTTCTCCCCTGTCGTCTTATTCCGAACATTTTTTTCCATTCTCACATTCACTGAATGAAAGGGAGAATGTCATGACAATTTGTGTGAAGCATTCCTTAGTAAATTTCATGGGAGATAGTACAAAAATTATGTATAAAAAAATCTATACCTTTTAGTAATACCAAGATATTTATATAGTAACAAATAAAACAGAAATCCTTTTTGGCAACGATGCAAATTTGAGTTGGTATTACAATAAGAAGGTTTAGCGATTAAATTTATCTCCAAAATTCGAAGACGATTTTTGCAATGTATTGCAATATTGAAAAGAGCAGTAGAAGCGTCATAATATAGAGAGGGAGCAACGTAGAATAATAGTTTTTTAATCTGCGTTGGTTCGGACGGAGGTAATATATGTATTGTTGCATCAAGCATTTTATACTACGTGTTGATAGTGTGCAAATCAAACAGGACATAACACGAATAATTCCTTGTCCACCCACACTAAATTACATATTTACATTATATTGTATATTTCAAATCGAGCAATTTCTTTCAATTACAGTAGTAAATATTTCAATCAAGGAACGCAGTGAAGACCGATTTCAATTAAATTGCAAACTGTACTACTCCATGTAACAATAAATTCTTAATAATATAAATTTTTTTTTCCGAAAACAAGAGTTTTTTTAATATTTGGGAATTTCGGTGTATTACTAAAAACGGCTGAATCTAGTTCCGACGCTTCTTTCCTCGGAATAGTTCATATGAACTAGCATTGAACGTTTTAGTTCATTTAAATGATAACTCATAATTCGTTCATCTAGTTCATTGAGCCACCCGGTCACCATTCATCTCCACCAATTGAACTAGTTCGTTCGTGAACTTAAACCCCCCAATTATGAACTAATTCGTTCTGGGGACGACTCAAGATTAGAAAGAATTTTGGGAATTTAGTGAATTTATTGGACAAACTCTGTTGCCTCTGTTTTCCGATTCCCACCCAGGTATTTATTCGCATTCGATTTCGAACTATTAGCGTACATGCAGAGAACACAATAAGTCCGTCAACGAGAGTGCAGAATACGACGAAATGTCGACAACAACACACATTCTGAATAGGAATTGGCCGTACCTACGGACGCAGGGATCTGCTTTGCTTCGCAATACGTCTCCGGTCATAACGCTGATCTGCTTAATAACAATTGTCGGCTATTTGCTGTCGTTCAGCGAGACTGCAGTATTATTTTTAACGGTAACTCCTGGCTATATTCTGCCCAATGCGGAATTTTGGATATGGACAGCATTCACATTTTGCTTCATCGAATTGCATTGGTGGGAGGTGTTAGTCGATGTGGTGACAGTGGGACTGTGTGGTAAAATGATTGAACCCCTGTGGGGCCAAATGGAAATGTTTAAATTCTTCGCCCTAAGCAATTTCGGGGTCTCCATTTTGACCACCATGTATTATTTGTTCTACTATATGATAACAAAGAACCCGCAGATTTTGTTTGACGTCCACATTCATGGCCTGGCTGGTTATGTAGCTGGAATTTGTGTTGCCGTACGACAGATTATGCCAGATCATTTGATTTTCAAGACACGCTGGGGAAAACTGACCAATCGCAATGTCCCCCTGTCCGTGCTAGTGTTGTCCATAATATTTTGGGCCGTGAATATGCTGGATGGCACATATCCTGCTATGTTCGCCTCGGGTCTGTTGGTATCATGGGTGTACTTACGTTTCTATCAGCACCATCCCAATGGTAGAGGAGATAGTTCGGAGAGTTTTACGTTTGCCAGTTTCTTTCCAAATATAATGCAACCGGTCATACAGATGCTGGTCAAGCCAATATATGGGTGCTGCTTGAAGGTGGGAGTGGTAAAACCACCGGCCCCGCCACGCGTTTCCACAGCTAGCTTAACCTCAGTATCGATTTCAATGCCCGGTGTCGATCCTCATGATGTTGAACGCAGACGGTAAGTAATATTCCCTTCAATTGTGAGTTCCACTACAGTGAACATTTTGTTTTCCTTTGTAGACAAATCGCATTGAAGGCACTAAGTGAACGTTTAAAGGCAACTGAAACCACAAAACACACCCCATTACCAAAATCGTTTCCCACAGTTGCTGGGGCCGGTCAAGGGCACGGCCACAGTCACCAACACCAACATAAACATCATCATGGACACGGTCATGGTGGACACAGCCATCAACACGGCGGAAGTGGACATCACAATGCCTCTGGTCACAGCCATCACAGTGGTGGACACGGCGAAATACAAACTCCACCATTTTTATCCCAGTCAACGCCACCATCCCAGCCCATTACTACCGCCCGATCAGAACCCCGTATGATCAGCACAATGAGCCCCATAGCCATTCCTATGCCTGCGCCGCCTCCCAAAACACCACCCGCAGAGAATTCTGCTGTAGCCACCAGCGAGTATGTCGCTAATAATAGTGATAAAGCATTACTCATCGATGTAGAAGGCGAAACCCAATGAAATACGACGTAGCATAAGAAGTAGTAGCAAAATTATCAGCTAAATTGTGAACCCGACGAAGACGATACTGCTGCTGGAAACACGCTTAGCAGTGATTTTTTGTTTTTATTATATTTTTATTTAAACCTGTATAAAAACTACCTAGAAACTATTTTGAAATATAGTTGGTACATTTCCATACGTTTCTTTACGAAAGGAATCAGTTATTTCCTTCCCGCTAAGTTGTATTCTCGTTTCTCTTTTTTATATGTATGTAATTATTATGTTAAAAATAAATATTAAAATGCAATAACATGCTTTTAGGACATGAAATGTTTTTTAATACAAATATCCCAAATGGTTGTTGATTTATTTTTTTGTTCTCTTGATTAAATTTAAATCCACATTGGATTAGGATACAATATCAATAGAAAGGGCTTCCAATTACTCTTAAATGTTTGCGCTAAGGAATATGTTTTGGAAATCCATGATGTTTTTCTTTGAAAACACAATTTATCCAATGCATTTTACTCTACATTGTTCGGGGGGAATTTATTGACTTCTAATTACGTAGTTGTTGTACCTCTCATCTGTAGTACGGATTCTGTTGTTGCCAAGATCCCTGAACATTCTGAGTTGTCTGGCCAGATGTGGCTTCGTATGGTGCATTGTTGCCCGATGATGCTCCACCGCCGGTGCTAGAGCTGCCGAAGGAGTTGAGGACACTACTGTAATACGAAGCATCAGCCACGGTTTCCGAGGGCTGGTGGTGACTAATTTGGCCAGGGGCTTTCTTGAGTGATTGATGAACGGCCACTTTTCCTTGGTGGCAGTCTTGAGCATTTGCACTGTTTATGCGGGCCAAGTTAGCTTGGGTTAATGAGGAATGAATTTGGACATTCGTAGGTGGCAAAGATCCTGGTGGATTGATGGTTCCTATACTGCTGGACCGCATCTGAGTTCTCTGAGTAAGTAGCGTCGAAGGAGCTTGAATTGGCGTAACGCCTGTCGAAGATTCAGAAAGTTTTCGCTGTGGACCAAGTTCTTGTTTGATCTCTGTTTGTGGAACTGGTGCTGGAGGCGGAGGTGGTGGTTGGGACACATGCCGGTGATTGATATGAGCTTGCAAGTCTCTTTGCGACAAGTATGTTCTTCGGCATCCCGTATTGCCGTATCTGCTGCCACTGTGAGTGCACATAAACACCGTGCCCAGGCCAGACTGTTCAACACGTACAACTTTGTCGTTGCAACGTGGACACACCTTAATGGGTTCAGTGCGAGCGCATTTCAGGCAAAATACATGTTTGCACGGAATCATACGTCCGTAATGCAGAATCGGCTTGTCGCATTGGTCACAGATATGAATCATGGGGTTCAATACTTTTTCGCCAATTAAATTCACCTTGTGGTTCCACTTAAGACGTAACATTGGCTCCGGCGGTCCTCTTGATATTGTGGTAAAAGTTGGCGCCTCCAATTGTGATATATCTGCTTCCATGTCAACTGCAAAATAAATTTTCATTTTGATTTAAACAGGTGAATACATTTTGAGTTTCGAATTAGTACTTACTTGTTTGTGGAACAATGGTACTAGGAGGCTGTGGTGGTTGGCTCTGCACGTCTGTTTGAGTGCCAGGAACTGAAACATTGTTGGTAGTTTCTTGCATTGGCACATTGGTGCTTGTTTCTGTATCCACTTTCGGCAATTCCTGCATAACTGCATCCTCTGTAGCTTCAAGAGGAATATTTCCACTACCTGTTGAAATGTCGCCATCTTCTGCAACGGCACCAGATCCACCGTCAATGGACTGATCCAACGAAACTTCTTCGTCACTTGATACAACAACAGCAGCGGCTTTTTTGCCTCTGCCGCGACCTCTACCACGTCCTCTACCACGGGCTCTTGCTCCACGAGCACGTCCTCTTGCTCTTTTGCCACCACTTTCATCAGCGTCCATAATAATTAATACAATTTTTTAACAGGCAGTCCGGCAGGCAGTGCAAAAAAATCTCTGTAACTCCAAGTTGTTTTTATACGCGTCACTTAGGGATAGAGTTGGGTAGTTCCGGAACGAACTAGTTCATTGGAACTATTCCGAGAAAGGAACGAACGGAACTAGTTCCTGTTCTTTAATTAATATAATTTCTTTCTCTGATCCAGTTCCTTTTTTGAACTATTTGAAGCAAAGGAACTGTATGGAGCAAAGGAACTATAAAGAGCAAAGGAACTATATGGAGCAAAGGAACTATTTGGAGCAAAGGAACTATATATGGAAAAACGAAAAAAAAAATAATAAGAGAGAGAGAGAGAGAGAGAGATTCAAAAGAACAGTGGGAAGCCTCCAAGACTCCAGCCTTCATAAAATTCGCTTGTTAATCGTCGTTCTGCCAAGACTCAAGCGACGTCGTACGCAAACCTTCGCCAACAAATGGTCTGTTCCAGTACTTTTTATACCCTCCACCATAGTATGGAGGGTATATTAATTTTGTCATTCCGTTTGTAACTCATCGAAATATTCATTTCCGACACTATAAAGTATATATATTCTTGATCAGGGTAAAATTCTAAGACGATCTAGCCATGTCCGTCCGTCTGTTGTAATCACGCTATCTTCTGAAGGAATTGAGATAGGGTGCTGAAATTTTGCATAGGGTTGTCTTTTGTCTGTAGGCAGGTCAAGTTCGAAGATGGGATATATCGGTCCACGTTTAGGCATAGCTCCCATATAAGGGTACCCCCCAATTTTCAGTATTTTGGGGTTCTTGAGCGCTTTTTTCAAGCGAATTTGTAGTAAATGTATCCACAAAAAATTATAAATATAGGTCCACTTTTTCTTGTAGCCCCCATATAACGGTACCTCCTAATTTTCAGTATTTTTTGGGTTTTTATCGTATTTTTCACCGAATTGGCTGTAATTTAGTATTTTGAGTTCTTAGCAGGTACCAAATCTCTCCACAAAAAAATTTAAATATAGGTCAATTTTTTCGGATATCCCCCATATAAGGGTACCCCCCAATTTCGGTATTTTGGGGTTCTTGAGCGCGCTTTTCAACCGAATTCGCTGCAATTTTGTACATTGCTTTCATATTGCGTACCAAATATCTCTACTAAAAATTATAAATATCGGCCCACTTTTTCTGGTAGCCCCCATATAAGGGCACCCCAAATTTTCGGTATTTTGAGGTTCTTAAGCGCGATTTTCAACCGAATTCGCTGAAATTTGGTACAGTGGGTTCATATTGGGTACCAAATATCTCTATTTAAAATTATAAATATCGGTCCACTTTTTCATTTCAAATACCTGTCAGTATACCTGTGGTGGAGGGTATCCAAAGTTCAGCCCGGCCGAACTTAACACTTTTTCACTTGTTTAATAGTAAAGCTAGTAAAAGGGAAACATTTCAAGTCTCAGAGTACAAAATAATTTGAAAAGTTCGGGAACGCAAATCTAGTAAAAAATTAGATGGCAATACTTCAAAATCAACATAACAAAAAGTTTACAAAGGGAAAGCCATTTTGTTTTGTGCTCTCTTAAATTTGATTCAAGCTAAAGCGGTGTACACACTTACACTTTTGAATGACAAAATATCCAATTTTCAATCGATTTTGCATATGTGGGTATGTAAAGAAAATCGATTTTGAACAGGTTTGAGGGGAATTATATACTTATTTTTTAAGATTTAACTTGTATTAAAATAAAATATTCTGCCCCTCGAACAGAAAAATTAACTCGATATACCATAAACAATGAATAATCACTTCACCTAAAAGTATGCTATAAAATACGTAAAAATCCAAAATTGTTGCCTAACAGATATATGGCAGCTGAAAAAATTAAAACGTTTACTTTTAATTTATAAAGAGTATTAAAGCGGATTTTCATACAACTTCTAATCATGATTAAATGCTGAATTAGGGTTTTTTCTTAATCAGACTGAATTCACCACGATTTATCATACAAATTTAAATCATTGTGTGGCAGGGTTTATTTTAAATCATGATCGAAATCATGATACTAATGCGGTGTACACACTAGCATTTTTGAATGGCACTCTTGCCCAAATTTTGCTTGTTTGATAGTGTGGCCTCACATGTTTGTCATTCACCAGGCAACCACAAAAATATTTATGGTTGTTGGACAGTCAGTAACCGATAAAAACTGACAGTCAAAAATGATAGTGTGTACACCGCTTAATGCAACGCGGTTTTTGTACAATGTACTAAAATTTGCAACTGTTTTCACATGTTGTTTATTTTTAAATTTAACGGTTGCCAAATAAAAAAATGAAAGATCAAAGGAAAATAAATAATTATTTATAGAGTTTTTGTGATTTTAGGTGTTTTTTTTACTTTTCAAATGTTCACAGCATTGCAAAAACATATCCCTTGTTGTAATTCGTCTTTTCATTTCCAAATTGCAAATTAATAATTTTGCGCAAATTAATAATTTTGTATTTATATTAACAAATATCAGTTGATCGGCATTTAGATCATGATTAATGGCATGTGTAAACAATTAGTGTGTATTTCTGGATTTCGTTAATCGAGTCGATTTAAAATCGTATATGTAAATGTACTTTTAGTACAAATGCACATAAGTTTTAACTACAAATGTTTTTATACATTTGTTACCTAATGGAGAACAATTTCTATAAAAATTATAAAAATATTGATTGGAAAATTGCCAAAGAAATGATGAAAACAGTCAAATGCGTATATATACGTAAACAAATCAACCTTATTACATTTTAATACTAGTTTCAACAGCTATTATTTGTTGTCTTAATTTACAAATCGAGTCGATTTAAAACGTAAAGTATAAACGCTCCTTATATTTACAAATGGATTTTTTTTACAAATGGATTTTTTTTTTTATTAAATTTGTAATTTTGATTTATTATTCATTCACAAATTTTAATTGATTATTTATTAATTTCATAAACAAACTTCTATGTAAATCTAGCATAAGCTAAACGTAGCATAACATTTGGAATGTTCCAGTACCTTTTGAATAGTAAAGGGAAACATTTCAAAATCGCTCTCAAAGTACGAAATAATTTGAAAAGTTCGTGAACGCAAATCTAGTAATTATGCAAAATTAATGTAAATTATGTAAAATTAATTGATTCTTTTAGGTTCTGGAACGGAATTAATCATTGTGAAATTTGCTAGCTCCTGAAAATATGCTACAAAATATTGCAATAATTATTTGTCAACGCATTAAATGTTTAATGTTCAACGCACATAGATTAAATGATTTTAGAATGTGCGTTTTGCTCTAATATTTTGTATCAAATATCGCTACTTATTGCTAGAGTAAAGAATAACTTTTATTTTTAGATATATCTTGATTGCATTTACGGTGGGTTACGTTATATTCTATAATATTTTACAAATTGCTATGAGGGAACCTTTGCTCTTACCATGTTTTACGGAAATCGTAATTTATTTGACATTCAAAGGAAATGACAACTTAAATGATGATTTAACATAAAACACGTTCCGTGTAAGTGGAAGCTCCATGATCCAATAAATATTAACCTGCAATTTTGTTAAAAAAAAGAAATAAAACTTATTTTCTTTTGTACGCCAAATTTTTAATTGTTGTCATACGTCGAACATTCTCTGCTCTACTAGGTCGGCACAATGTGCTGTGGTGAATTCCATGTAAATTCAACCCTGAATTTGATACCATTTTTTTACATTGCTGCCGAACACCAATTCACCACTCTATATAGAGCCGCCGTGGTGAGTGTGGCTCGGTCTTTCTTTTTCTCGCAACGTCTCATTGCAGGCGTGTGGTACTTTTTTAAGTTGGTCAGGAAAAATCAATAAACATCCAAAATGGTACGTGAAATTTAATAATAATACCTTTAAAATCGCAAGAAAAAAGCAACAAATATTCCAATAACACAAATATTTTTCAATGATGTGAAAATTTTTCGGTAAAATGTAAAAATTAAAATTGTGAAATTCCTTGACGACGTTTTCTCCTCGTCGTTGTCGTTGATGATGATGTCAGTATAGGTGAATGTGTGTGAATGGCTTCGGTTTTTTTGTGTCTGCTTCGTTTCATCGTACCACCATCATGGCTGACATCCATCAACGAGACGAAGGGAATACGTACGATATGACGTGGAATGTTTCCACAAAAAAAGAGAACGAGAAAAAAGAAAATAAAATGTGGCCTTGGAATTTCATGCTTTTTCTTCTTTTTTAAGAAAATATGAATTATGCGAGCATCTTCTTTGACTTATCTATTTACTTTATTTGTTTTTTGTGGTTCATAGGTCAACTTCACCGTCGATGAAATCCGTGAGCTTATGGACAAGAAACGGAACATCCGTAACATGTCCGTTATTGCTCACGTCGATCATGGTAAATCCACCTTGACCGATTCCTTGGTAAGTGTTTTCCCCAGACGCAATTCCGTCTATATGTAGATCTAGCCACGCCCCTTGGGATAGCATAACTTATAATGTACTTTTTGTTGTTGTTGGCGATAGGTTTCCAAAGCTGGTATTATTGCTGGTGCCAAGGCTGGTGAAACTCGTTTCACCGATACCCGTAAGGATGAACAGGAACGTTGCATCACCATTAAGTCAACGTAAGGATTTATAAAAAAAGATAATTTATCTTGTGCGATGGTTCTAACACATAACCTCACTTTTGGTGGTGTTTTGGTTTTGATTCTGTCTTGCAGTGCCATCTCTATGTACTTCGAAGTTGAAGATAAGGATTTGGTGTTCATCACCCATCCCGATTTGTGTGAAAAGGGCAGCAAGGGTTTCTTGATCAATTTGATCGATTCACCCGGTCACGTTGATTTCTCCTCTGAAGTCACTGCCGCTCTTCGTGTAACTGACGGTGCCTTGGTCGTCGTCGATTGTGTCTCTGGTGTGTGTGTCCAAACTGAAACTGTGTTGCGTCAAGCTATCGCTGAACGTATCAAGCCCATTTTGTTCATGAACAAGATGGACCGTGCTTTGTTGGAATTGCAATTGGATGCCGAAGAATTGTACCAAACTTTCCAACGTATTGTTGAAAACGTGAACGTCATTATTGCCACCTACAATGACGATGGCGGCCCAATGGGTGAAGTACGTGTTGATCCCTCCAAGGGTTCCGTCGGTTTCGGTTCTGGCTTGCACGGTTGGGCCTTTACCCTCAAACAATTCTCCGAAATGTACGCCGAGAAATTCAAGATCGATGTCGTCAAGCTAATGAACAGGTGAGTGAACTAACTAATAATCAATTATTGATAAACATTTTGTTGTTGTATGGGGGCAAACTTTAGGAATTCGGAATGCTTTTAGCACAATTCGTGTTGTTCATAAAGCTGAGGATTTCGATTTCGGATTCTCCGCTTGGGGACTGAACAACAAGTGCCTATAAAAGTAGATCAATATGCAAGGTGGCTACTTCTGCCGTTCTTGCGAATGGCGGAGGTGGTAGCCTTAACGATATGGGTTTGATAACGCTGAACGGTGACCTCTTTCCTAATGTCAAATCCGTTTATGCTGAAGGATTCATATAACAATATGCCACATATAATTAAGGGACTTTAAATGCTTTTAGCACAATTCGTGTTGTTCATAAAGGTGAGGGTTCCAACATTGGTTCTCTCAGCTTAATGACTGAGCGACAAGTGCACATAAAAGCAGATTAAATGAACGGAGTCGGTTCTCGGCTTTTGTTTTCAATGCTGAAAATTGATTCCTGCAAAATATTGATTTCATAACGCTGGGTGGTGACCTCTTTCCTAATGTCAAATCCTCTTATGCTGAAGAATCGATTTTACATCTGTAGATACTTAAGGGGGGTCTTTCAACGTATCCACTTTTGTTCGCCTGGCTAAATTCGAATATCACTTGTTTGTATATTTCAATAGACTCTGGGGTGAGAACTTCTTCAACGCCAAGACCAAGAAATGGCAAAAACAAAAGGAAGCTGACAACAAGCGTTCCTTCTGCATGTACATCCTGGATCCCATCTACAAGGTGTTCGATGCTATCATGAACTACAAAAAGGAAGAAATCCCAACCTTGTTGGAAAAGATCGGTGTTACCTTGAAGCACGAAGATAAGGACAAGGATGGCAAAGCCTTGTTGAAGGTCGTTATGCGTACCTGGTTGCCTGCTGGTGAAGCTTTGCTTCAGATGATTGCCATCCACTTGCCCTCTCCCGTCGTTGCTCAAAAATACCGTATGGAGATGTTGTACGAAGGTCCTCATGATGATGAAGCCGCCATCGCTGTCAAGAACTGTGACCCCGAAGGTCCTTTGATGATGTACATCTCCAAGATGGTACCCACCTCCGACAAGGGTCGTTTCTATGCCTTCGGTCGTGTATTCGCCGGTAAAGTTGCCACTGGCCAGAAGTGCCGCATCATGGGCCCCAACTACGTTCCCGGCAAGAAGGAAGATTTGTACGAAAAGGCCATCCAACGTACTATTCTTATGATGGGTCGTTACGTCGAAGCCATCGAAGATGTTCCCTCCGGTAACATTTGCGGTTTGGTCGGTGTTGATCAATTCTTGGTTAAGACCGGTACCATCACCACCTTCAAGGATGCTCACAACATGAAGGTAAGCTATCACCCAATTCGTTTTCAGAGTTCTCCTTTAATGTCGTGTGATGATATTTAACACAGACCTGTACAGATTTGTAAACTTTGAACGAAAAATGTTAACTGATAACCCTACTTTGAGGGAATCATCAGTGGCATTACATTGATATCTTGGGCAAAATACTAATTGTTTTCTTTTTCGTTCGCTCACCTTCTTCTACCTCTGTGTTGTATAGGTTATGAAGTTCTCTGTCTCACCCGTCGTGCGTGTTGCTGTTGAACCCAAGAACCCTGCCGATTTGCCCAAATTGGTTGAAGGTCTTAAGCGTTTGGCCAAGTCCGATCCTATGGTACAATGTATCATTGAAGAATCCGGCGAACACATCATTGCCGGTGCCGGTGAATTGCATTTGGAAATTTGCTTGAAGGATTTGGAAGAAGATCACGCTTGCATTCCTTTGAAGAAATCCGACCCCGTTGTATCCTACCGTGAAACTGTCTTCGAAGAATCCAACCAAATGTGCCTCTCCAAGTCACCCAACAAGCACAACCGTTTGGTCATGAAGGCTTTGCCCATGCCTGATGGTTTGCCCGAAGACATCGATAACGGTGAAGTCAGCTCCAAGGACGATTTCAAGATCCGTGCCCGTTATTTGGCTGAGAAATACGATTACGATGTAACTGAAGCCCGTAAGATCTGGTGTTTCGGTCCCGACGGTACTGGTCCCAACTTCATCTTGGATTGTACCAAGTCCGTTCAATACTTGAACGAAATCAAGGATTCCGTCGTTGCTGGTTTCCAATGGGCCACCAAGGAAGGTATCATGGCTGATGAAAACATGCGTGGTGTTCGTTTCAACATTTATGATGTCACCCTTCACGCTGACGCCATCCATCGTGGTGGTGGCCAAATCATTCCAACCACTCGTCGTTGCTTGTACGCCTCGGCCATTACCGCTTCCCCACGTCTTATGGAACCCGTCTACTTGTGTGAAATCCAATGTCCCGAAGTCGCTGTCGGTGGTATCTATGGTGTATTGAACAGACGTCGTGGTCATGTCTTTGAAGAATCCCAAGTTGTCGGCACACCTATGTTCGTCGTCAAGGCCTACTTGCCTGTCAACGAATCCTTCGGTTTCACCGCTGATTTGCGCTCCAACACCGGTGGTCAAGCTTTCCCACAATGTGTATTCGATCACTGGCAAGTGTTGCCCGGTGACCCATCCGAACTCAACACCAAACCCTACCACATTGTCCAAGACATCCGTAAACGTAAGGGTCTTAAGGAAGGTCTCCCCGATCTCGCCCAATACCTCGACAAATTGTAAAAAGTTTAACGTGCACCACACCACCAATTCCCCAACAACACCAACGAGAATTTTATGCTCCTGTCGTTAACTGCTGTTGGTGGATCATGGATCTAGCAGCAGCAACAAAGCTGTAGCCACAAATGAAACCAAGCTTCTATCTTCTAAACAAACAAATAGCACACGCATAATAAAAACATACGACAACAACAACAGCAGCAGCAGACACGTTATAACATTAAAAATGAAATTATAGAGAAGAAATACAAAAATATTAAATAAAGATAAAAATTACATGATAATTACTGTACTCTAAAAAAAGAACAAAATAAAATTGTTTTTTGCTTATTATTAGTTTTAAAGAAACCATCCTTGTTGGAATTTCGAATTAACTGAGAAGAAATCTATACAATGAGTTTGTCAAGGTAATGTTACAATTATCAATCGTACACTAGATTTGTTTGTAGCATTTGGACTGATACTATGTAGTAAAATGTAGAATTTGTAAAGTTCCGTCCGTTTGCACTGCGATATCATGTGAAATGTCTACATTACTTTCAATACAGATTCGGCTTCTAAACAACTTCAAATCTATTTTTGTGATACTATGTATTTATTTTTAATTGAATCGTCATTATCAAAGAATCACAAAAATATTTTATGACTGTTGTAGACAACAATCCTCATAAGATCCATTGTTGACCGAATACTGTGTCCTAATGTAGAAAAAAAAACTGAGTAGTAGTATTTTTTGAAATATTTGTTCGATTTCAAATTGACAATTTCTATTTGATTTGTATTTTTAAAAAAAGTATTTTCTTCAAAATTTTCAGTTCAGAATTTGGAATTATTTTCGTACATATCCTACAACATATGTACATTATTGTTATGGCTACTTAATATCAGAGCAAATTAAAAATGCAAATATTCGAAATCTGTAGTCAATAAAGCTGGAATTAAATCACTCGAAACTCACGCACATCAATATATCACTCGAATTGAAAGCTAACATAAAGGAATCGGGAATTTTCTTTTGAGAAAATACAGATGTAAAGATGTCGCTAGCGGCTTATATACCGTCTCCGTTTCAAATAAAAAATGCCATAGACAAATCAAATAAACCAGATGTCGCTGCACTCCAGGCAAAAACGTTAGCTAGTATATATCGGGCCAAGGTGATTGAAGCCTACAAGAACCGTCGAATATTTACAGTGTTCGGGAATTACAATACGATACGTCGGGCGTTGCTGAAAAGAGGCTGGATAGAAAAGCTTACACTTAATCGTTATACCAAATTACAAAACTTGCCTGAAGAAATTCTCCTGCAGCATGCCAAACGAGGCAATGAATACGAAACGGTTGCTATAAGTAAAATCATAAATCATTTCCCTGCATTTTTTGTGTGGCAACCAAAAGCTCAAAGGGATTTGTATACCGATGTCAAGCCATATCGCAATCGTGTTCGTCGGGGTCATGCTTTTGATTTTTCCACAAAGGTCGGGCTAATTAGTTGTGCAGAGTTAGCGGAGCAATGGTTTGGACAAGATGGTGTGTCTGGCATGTTGTATCCTCGCTTCTTTCGTTTGAGTGGTAATGAGGAAGAACAAATGGAATTTGTAAGAGATTTTCGGCTAACTCAATGTCGAAGTTTATTGAAATACCTAGTGAAACACAAGGACGAACCTGAACTGGTTATTGACTTTGAGAATGGTACAATATCCCCACAAATTGTCAGTTTTGCAATACAACAGCTACAATGTCATATTGATGAGTGTGAAAATATAGATGCTCCAAGCGCAGAAGATGCTCTTATGGATAAGGATTGGGAAGATTTTCTAAATAACTCTCACAAAGTAATTAACTTTTCCAATAAAATCAAGTGGAACTACCGCGAGTTGATGAATTCTGTGCGCGTGGCAGAAGTTATACTGAACAACATTGAGCAAAAGCATCCTGGTTTCAGATGGGATGGGTTTAAAAATCTGTGGATTTTGAAGCCGGGCTATCAAAGTCGTGGCTTGGGCATTGTTTTGCGAAATAATTTGGATGATATATTGCGTTGGGCTGCTAGTCATCTTAATCGTCGCTATATTGTGCAAAAATACATTGGTAAGTAGTGGGTGAACAAGTCTAATCTCAATTAATTGTATTTTGTTTTGTAGAACAACCATTGCTTATTTACAACACCAAATTCGATATAAGGCAGTATATGCTGATTTTTATACGAGAATCGAGGGTACAAATATGGCTTTATCGAGATTGCTATCTTCGCTTCAGTTCCCAAGAGTACAGTATAGATGATCTTCGAGAATCGGTACACTTAACGAACAATTCCGTGCAAAAGAAATATAAAAACAAAACCACACGGGATCCACGTTTACCCAAGCATAACATGTGGGGTTTGGATCAGTTCAAAGCTTATATGAAATCACAAAATATACCCGAAGATGTGTGGGAGAATAAAGTGTTTTCAGGATTTCGTGAAAATCTCATTGCAGTAGTTTTAGCTAGTTTGGACGAGACAAATCTCTGTGAAAATTGTTTCGAACTTTATGGCTGTGATTTTATGCTCGATGATCAATACACACCCATTTTAATTGAAATAAACTCGACGCCTGATTTATCGGCCTCAACAGAAGTGACAGCAAGAATTTGTCCTATGGTTATGGAGGACTGCATAAAAGTAGTTGTGGATTTGTCTCGCAACAGTAGAGCCTCAACTGGACATTTCCAAAAGGTATACGAAGTAAGCTACCACTTTAAACAATCAGAGGATGCAATCGAATTGTTTAATGTACAAGGGAAATCTGTGGAATTGTGTCCCAGATCTAGAATGCCGTGTAAATTAAAAATATTTAGAAAATCCAAGAAAAAGGAGACCACCACCAAGTCAACAAGCCAAGAAACCCAAAAGGTATGTAGTTTCATATATTTAATGAAAAATACAAATAACTAATAATTTGCCACTTAAAATTCTAGCCTCTAACATTGCTAGTCCCGACAAAAAAATCGAAAATTAATATAGCAAAAAATGTGGGAAATGTCTTAAAAACAGCAGCAAAGGAAGCCTTAGCCTTGCGTTATACAATGCCCAAATAAGAAATAATCACTCGTAACAATCAATGGTAATGGTAAGTACAATTTACTATTTTCTTCTTACTAAGCAATTCAACAACAATGATAACAACAACGTAAAAAAGCATATAAGTTCAACGAAATTATTAATAACTTTAATAGTGGCAGTATTTCGTGTTTTAATCCACATGTTTAGTGGTTATGGAAGGAGCTGCTGATGATTGTTTGGAAGCTGTCATTTTTCTTTTGGTATTCCAACTTGTTATGCTTTTTCCAATAGCATGTATAGTGGTGGCATTGGACTCGTTTTGTTTCTTTCCCTTATTACAACCGATTCCTTCTAGGCGTGTCTTTAAGTTAGCGCTACCCGGCAATAAAGGGCTAAGACTTTTATTGATTTTTATGTTTCTTTTGAGGGGGCTGCTGCACAACTCCTTTATGTTATCAGCTGATTTGCTAATGCTGAGATTAGTTGGGGCATCCAATGTATTTGCTTTTAAACGTCCAGCACTACGCGATGAATTAATGGCTTTTTGCTGATTATAACTGGCCACAAAGAATTTCGATTTTTGTAAATCTTTGCAGGTATTACTACCGATTACACAATGTGTATTTAGTCTGGGACCACAACTACGATGCCTTTTCAATGTTGAATACACATCACATATACCATTCGCGGTTGACGTTGGCTTATTTGCTGGAATACGCCTCACAGCACCCACAGCCAAATTAGCAAAGGCTTTACATCGATTATCTGCCGCAACCGGTGTGGTGGGTAATAGTTTTCGGTCTGTTGCTGTAAGGCCTATCAAACTGGGTATACTCGAACTACGAGGGCTGTTTGTGATTTCCATATTTAGAGATTTTTCTATATATTCGGTGGCATTAAAGGCAGGCATGGGTTTATGTGATTGTGACGAATTTGCCAGAGCCAATGTGGTGCGTTGTTTATAGATTTGACTTGTTTGCAGGGTTTTTTCTTTGCGATGGTAACCATAGCCGGAGTGATGATGACTACTGGAACGATTTGAAATTTGTCGACCCTTGACTATCAGATTAAGACCCATATAGGCCGGTGTGGGTGGTATTACTTGTCGATAGATTAATTCGAAATTTCCTACATCCGCTTTGAAATCATTACGTCGATCGATAACAACTGTAATAAGGGAAAGGTTACATTTTAAAGAAATACATGGATTTTGTTAATACCTTTAATGACATCCTCCAAACACTGAGGACACATGCGCGCCGTAACACTTGTGGTTGCTCCCAAATCCGGATTCGAATTAATTTCAATCAGCCATGGATAGAAATTTTCACATATCATAAAATCCGCTCCGAACAGTTCAAACGTATTTGGGGTACGTTCCATGTGATCTTGTGATACCAGAATAGCTGCTACTATGGCCTTACGCATGCCGGGATATATTCGTTCCAACCAAACTTCTTGCTTGCCAATTTGACGCAGATAGGCCTGAAATGAATACGAATCCCACATATTTTCACTGGGCAGACGTTTGTCACGTTTGCCATTGTTTGTGTATTTCTTCTGTATGGCATGATTGGTCAAGTGCACTGACTCGTGGTGATTGGTTAGTGTGTACTCCTGCGAACTGAATCGTAAATAGCATTCCTTGTACATCCAAATCATTAATGGGTTAATGCTGGAGATGAGAAACCATTGACGTATATCAAATTTAGTTTGATGTATAATCAAAGGACGTTCTGCAAAGACATACAGTGAGAGAGAGAATTAAATTATAAATGAGAGGACTTGCGTACATGAGCCAAAAGGGAACTCAGGTTTTGTTTTTGTTTTTTTTGCACCTAACCTCCGACAACAACCTGTTGTTGATACTTTTATATGTTGCATGTCTCTGCCAAGAAGTGTTTGTTGTGTGTATGACGTATGTTGTGTGGAATGAGAGCCTTCGTGGCATTCAATTTCTCAGCAACAATAAAAGTAGGTCTTTTGTTTATCGTTCTGATTTTTTTGTACTAGTTTCTTTTTTTCTGTCATGCTCATCATGCTATGTAAGGGTGTGTTTTTATGTTTCACAAATATCAAAAAGTGCGGAGAAAGAGTTACATAGAGACTTTTGTAAGGATAATATTCTCTTCTGGCCATAAACTCTATTTAAGACAATAAATTACATTTATCTTTTCCAACCACTTATTTTTAATTTTGAGGGAATAATCTGATGTTAAGGGAATAATCTGATAAAAATCACTTTTGTGTACATTTGTTTCTACTTCTATTTAAAGTTTTGTAATTTTCATTGGAGTACGTGTTATCTATTGAATCAACTTACCCATATACTTTTGAACCACATAACGACTTTTCGATGCAATTGGCGGATTAACAATATTAACAATTTTCTTTAGATTATTGCTCAACATAATGCCACGACCACGACATTTATTTGCCGGTTTTATTATCCACAAATTCTGATAACCATCAATGGAGTACTGAGGCCAATACGGTACAATACTATCCAACAGCTGGGCACCCTTTACAATCACATTTTCCACAATTTTCTGTGGATCGGCAGTGATTTTATAACCTTCGTGCGTTAATTGATAGTGATGATTTAGAAATGCATCCCAATCGTGTTCCCAAATGTTCGGATCTTCACCGTCTATGTCATTGTGTTGGCATGTATCCAAGAATTCGTGACAACGTTTGTAGGCAAATTCAATGCAAGTGAATGGCACCCTGCCCGTGGCCGAGAAAACAACATCGAAACCACCCGCTTGATATTTTTCCACCAGCCAACGAACAAAGGCGATACAAGCAGTTAGCTTGAAATGTTCAATGAATTCGCCAAGCTCTTCGGGTGACCAAACATTGTAGCAGCGTGGAAAGCGACTTTCCGCAACACCTTCTTCGTAGAATGCCGCAATATCCCTTAGGAAAGCATTTAGATTCTCCTTATTGGTAAATGGCGCCCGATTGAATTTATTGATTAGCATATTGGGATTCTTTGACTGTTCCACGTAGTCGGCCTTTTCCTTGTGCGGGGTCCAAAGCAGATCACACGGTACATGTTCAATGTAACGGGACATGATGTTACGTTCAACTTTGGCGATAAATTGACGTTGAGTTTCGCCCGTTTTCCGTTTAGGCAAAACCTGTGACAAATCGCAGGGATTAATCAGGTTGCTTGGCACGAATACAGATTTACGATGATATTCAAGTTTCTCCACCCAACCCCGCGACTTCAAGGCATGACGCACCGAATTGTAGTTGCCTCGTATGGTAAAGATTTTATTTTGTTTGACCGCATCCTGGGCATGACGGCGCAATGTATTGATCTGATCATTGTTGAGTATGGTGTAAATGCATTTGACTTTTTTAAATGGCCCCGATACCGAGACTTGTTTGTCAATAATAACACTGCCGTGCGAGGTAAGTGGTGGACCATCGTTAGCCGGCTGTTTGTTATCTTTTATGGTGGTCACTGATTTCTTTGTGAGTTTACGAATGGCATCGGTTACCAAAATTTCCGTATTCTTTTGATTGAATTGTCGTTCCGCTTTGGATTTTAAAACCTTAGCAACGGCTGCCTCTTCCAGGTTGGTTTTAGTGCCAGAAAACGTTTTGTTGCCGTTGCCGTTTTCATCATTGAAAATTGTTTTTAACTTTTCTCTTTTTGTTGATTTCGTTTGTTTGGTATTTGTATTTGCATTTTTCGTTATACCCCTAACACAAACAATATTTTCATTACAAACATGTGAATTGATTTCATTTTCGTTTTCGATTTCCTCTGCTGTTCCACTTTTGATTACTTCCGCCGATTGGCTTTCAGTGATTTCTTTATTGACTTCCAACGAACCTACCTCAACATTTGTTGTTTTATGTTCTAATGTTGATGATGATGGTGACTGTTCAATGACTGTCTTTGACATAGTCACCGACACACCAGCAACACGAAGCGCGGCAGTTCAGCGAAACTGCAATTTTATTCGCGTTCGCGTAACGAACAGGCAAACGTTGTAAAGATAACTAATTCAATAAATTTACCAATTCGTTTCGTTACTTCCGAAGCTAGCTTCCAGTATGGTTTGGTTAGGTTTTGTTGTTATTGTTGCTAGTAGTGTGTGTGTTCGATATTATTTGGTGTTTGTTTTTGTGTGTGGGCTAAGTAAATAATTGTAAACATTACAAAAAACAAATCAAAGACCAAAAACAGCTTAAAAGAAAACTATGAAGGTTTATATTTAAACTTTGGGTATATTAGGGTAGGATTATTTATTTATGTTTGATACACTTCGTACGGTAAAAATTTGCCTCATAGAAATATTGGTTTTTGACCCCATGTTTCTTTGGACCAAATCCGTTTCAGATAATTTGGAGTCGATTTACCAATGTTCGTCCGTCTGTCCGTCTGTCTGCCTGGCCGGCTGGTGGGCACGACAACCTTAAACGATTTCATCCAAACCTTACACATTTCCAAATTTAACCAAACATTAAAAAACCTATTACCTTTCCAAGCCTAGATCAATTAGGAAGATGGACTCCATTGGTCCACTCCTTCTGGTACCTCCCCACAAAGGGTCAAAATCTTCAATATTTATAAATCCAATTTCAGACGAATTAAAACAAACCAAGATGAGACCCATTGGTCCATTCCTTTAGGTACCTCCCCCACAAAATGGTCAAAATTTTAACCAAACTTTGCATAACCTATTAGCTCTACCAAGCGTAGATGAATTCCGAAGATCGGAAGGGTACAATTTTTCAATAAATCCAATATTAGGCGTTCCTATCTCATTGTATCAGGTACATACTCCAAAAATGTTCTCCGAACAGAACTCTTTACATCCTCTAAAATGACAAACCTCTTTACGAATTATTTAAAATTGCCAAAACCTTCAGTACAACCTAATATCTATCAACACCAGTGTGCATTTGTGTGGGTGCCAGATTACTACTTCTTGTGTAGAAGAAAAATAATGTTGTTGCCATGTTCGACATGAAAAATCATACCCAAGCAGAAACATTTGATTATCATCTACTTTTGTGTAATAATGAAAGGATAAAACAGCTAAAGTCTTAGTCAGTCGGCCAGGCAAGCCAAAAGCAATCAGGCCAATAAGAAATACTTTTGCAAAGATTTTTAGCACGCGAATTCTTCTACACGTTGGCAGTGTGGTGTGCAGTTATTGCATAAAAAAGTTGTTGCATTTTCCACTTTTTTCATAAACTTTTTCCATGTGCCAATGCACAGCCTAATTATTTGTTAATTTTCTTTGCATTATTGTGATATTTTTAAATCATTTACATTGTTTCTATTGTTGTATTAAAGCAACAAATAATGGATTATACTTTGTGGGTAATATCCTTGTCTTCGTCGTTATTAATTAGACTTTGGCGCTTTTGCTTTCATTTCGAATGAACACACAGAGAGAGAGAAAAGGAGAACAAACAATTTTGCATGCCAATGGCAGTTTTGTGAGAAGTTTGGTATTTAAGCCAAGAATAACTTTTGACGGAAGCCTTGAAAGTTGTCTGGTTAAGACAAGAATGAAGAATATTAATAGTGAAAACACTAGAACATACATTCGCACAGCCTAATTTTGTTTTTGTTTTTCTTTTATAATCTGAAATCTAGGTGACGTATGAGTAATAATAATGTTCTGGCTTTAGGGTAATAAATAACTTATACGCACTAGAGGTACCAGGTAATTTGATATGTTAAATTGTTGAGTGGTTGTGTTGAATGGGGGAGATCTCAGAGAAAATGACACACATACATATAAACAAAAGAAACTTTTTAAAGATTGTTTCAAGTATAACTAAATTATGGGTCATAATTTGAAATTTCTTTAATCCGAATATCATATAGTGTCAGTAGTAGTTCATGCGATTTCCAATATTAAAATGAAAAAAAATAAAATAAAATGACAAATTAAATTAATTTCTACACTCATTATATTTGATTTTAAGATTTCGGAATTTATTGCAAGATACATTTGGGTATAAAAGGGTATTTGTAAAGAAGCTACAAATATATTCTATAAATAAAAAAGACTAAGGGAACTGATGAGAATCAGTGGCGAGATCAGATACTATATTCTTCCCACCCTTATCCCTTGGTGGACAATGCCAAACTTTCCCCAATAAGAAGTAGTTGCTTTTTATAAACATTTTGAAACAGCGAAACACAAATAGCATCCCAAATAACCCACCAACACTACTGATTTCAGAATATTTGATTTATCATATCCTTCATTCACTATATATGATTACAACTTCTAGGCAAATATACGTCACATGTGTGTATTATCCCCACAATTTTTAACATTTTACTCATCGTCCACATCTTATTGAATTTTAGAATAAAAAAAAAAACAAAATGACGTCAGAATGGCAATGGAAATTGTGTACCTTTGTATTGGATACCAAATCGAAAACAACAACACCAAATTATAACTATCAACAAGCTCATTAATTTATGGCTGGATGCAGTCCTGCACATTCGTATGGTCATTCGGGTGTGTATGTCTGGTCAGATCTATTTGTTTGCAATTAGCGTTAATGTTTACTTATTTTCTTCCAAATGCATAAATATCGAACATGTTCGGTAAAGATGAGTCTCGTACTCATACACACATACATACTCTATGATATTGTAATTTTACAAAAAATGCAACTGTATTAGGTGGGCTCATTGGAGAAAATCTATTCGCAAAGAATATCACGAGAATAGAATCAGTCTGTGACGACTCAAGTAAAAACAAAATGCAAAGTTCAAAAAATCATATGGTTGGCACAGGATTCAGAACCAAATAAACCACAACAAGTTTGAATGAATATGAAGATTTGTTAGATAACAGAGGTCTATTGCATCATAAGTTCTAGGTACAGGGATAGCACGTTGTTCGAGCAGGTCAAAGAAGAAAATATAAAAAAATCCACATATTTAAGTGGAAAACTTTGTATTCCTTTTAATTCGCGGATCGATGGAATCAGAATTCATATCACCAATTTCACACCGTTGAACTTTATAAATTCAGCTAGCATATGACAGCTAGAAAAGTAAATCTTGTAAAGCTATTGTGTGATATGCGTCGTCAGTGTGGTTCACCATAGGAATAAGTAAATCGACTTTCGACTTAATTGACTTTTTGTATTGAAAAGTCTAAAAGTCGAAGCCGACTTTATATTTTGGAGAAAATTGCAAAGTCGACTTTTTAAGATCGAATTTCGATTTTCGTCATGAATACTTGGTATATTATCGAAAATCGATTTTGAACAGGTTCGACAATCGAAAAGTCGATTGTTTTGCTCGACTACGTATCCCCTGCTCTATACCAAATTTGGTATCATTTTTACCCTTTGTACTTATTTCCAAAATCTTAATTTAGTACTAGTTAGTACACATTAAAATAAAATTCCATATCTACGGATTTCCAAATCATCCCACACCAATCTTAATTCCGAATTTTAGAATTACATCGCTATCGGTATCGCTATCCAAAACTTTCTACATAACCGCCAATCCAACACCCCAAAAGTGATACTAACTCCAAATTTAAGGATTCTAGCTTTATCGGCTCACCATGTATTCAAATTGTACCAAATTTAGTACACAAAAGTGCGAATTTCCAAGACTACACACATACCACAATTCTACCCTCGAAAAGTAATCTTAATTACAAAATTCTGGATTGTAGCTCTGTTGAATCGCCTAAATTCAAATTGTATCAAATTTAGTACCATTTAGTACCCATAAGTACACATTTCCTAAACTATATCCATACCCAATCCTACACTACATCAATAATTTTTATTTCCAAACTTCAGTGTTCCAGCTCAATGGGTTCACCTAAATCCAAATTGTACCAAATTTGGTACCATCTAGTACACATTAGTATAAATTTCAAAAACGTTTTACATACACCAATACTACACCCCAAGTAGTTATCCTAACTCCAAATTTCAAACTATTAACATGCCTCAATTCTACAATGCAGTAGTAATCTTATTTCCATATATCAGTGTTTGGGTTTTATCAACCAGGACCACCCCTGTCATAGCTTTATGAACAGGCTTATCCCGACCAAGCATGTCAGGAGAGAGATTCATGATCTAGAGAGAGAAGTCCAAAAGTGAGAGAAGTCCACGCCTTTGGATGGTCCTTCTAAAAATATTTTTAAAACATCGTCGCCTCCTTCTTGAAATTGGACACATAGCTGTTAGAACCGGGTAACAAATTATTAATTTCATATCCTGGATTGCAATTGCTACAACAAAAACCACAATTAGACTTTAACTTTCTGCGATGTAAAATATCCTTCTTTACTGTAAAATTGGGAGTTAAAAACCTATATTCTTTTCTCCAAAACATGAGGGACCCTATTAAGAAATTTTGTTTGTTTACAACAGAGAACACAAGGGGTGTGAGAAAAATGTGTGACAAACATTGTAACACTAGCGTAAAAAACCCCGAGAAGCACACATATTCTCCCCGGCGAACTATCTCTCTTTGATTGTCTTTCCAAATTTTCTCCAAACATTAAATGCCGGCTAATAAGACTTTCACTTGTTGTTGTGCTCAAAGCAAAAAGGAAAATAGAAACAAATGAGAAGTGAGTAACGTCTCATTTTGGTGCAGGAGAACTCGGAGCAAATGAGGCGAATATAAGTTTGCAGAATGATTTGTGTTTTTTTTTGTTATTTTGCTGAATTTCTGTGGGCAGTATAAAAACAAATCGCTGAAACAAATGTGAACACATTTTCAACGCACAGCTCATTGAGACAACAGCACGGAGAAAATCAAAAAAGTTAATAAAGAAAATTTTGAAACGAAAAAATATAACTTGAAGAAAAAATACAAATAAAAATCGAAAATATATATATTTATTTTGAATTGCGCCTTTATAACTTTGTGAAATAAAAATATAACAATATTAAAAAAAACATTATAATTTAAAAAATAATAACATTTTTTCTTAAACAAGTTTTAAGAAAAAAAAAATAAATAAAAAGTGCCAACAGGAAACCCAATAAAAAGTGCAAAATTTACGAAATAAAAACCAAATTTAATTTTCGCCAACGGTTTTTCATAAAACTATCAAAGTGGGGCTGTTAACATTAAAACGAAATCTTTCCTTTGGAATATCTGATATTCCAGAATTTGGTTCGAGAGACGAAAGCAAAATGGGAACAATTGGTAAGTTGGAAGTTAAAAAAAAAACAAATTTAACAAAATCCATTTTCCATTCATTGGTCCATCTATTTAATGGTTTTGGCGTCACCAAAAAAAGAAGACAAACCTGAAAAGGGGTCGCCTACCCCCCATTGTCATCGTCATCGTCACCGTCAGCGATTTTTTTTCTTTTTGCATAAATCTGAGAATCCTGTCTGCAGAACTGTTGTGACGTCAATCGTTTGTTTGAAGAGTTACAACAGTAACAAAGTGCAGAGCATTGTTCCTCCGTTGTTTCTGTCTTTCTTTCATTTCTCTATGGGTTTGGTAGCTATTTTTGTCTACTTAGAGTTTGTGTGAGGGTTTTTGTTTTTATGTTCGGAATACAATGTAGGGAGGCCGGGCAGGAGCTATTGTATCTGAAGTTCATTGTATTCAAGGCGTGAGTAACAAATATGCCTTGCCATTTTTTTTCCTTTGCTTGCTGTTGTCGTTGAGATGGAGGTTCCAAAATTAGATTTGAACTGTGCCGTTGCCGTTGTTGTTGTTGTTCTTTGACATTTGAAAGGATCGCAACATGAAACGCGTGCTGCTGTGACAATGCTTTAGCATTGCTTTAATAGCATTTGAATATGTTTATTTTTGTATTTTTCTTGGAACAGAAAACAAAAATCGAGAAATGTAACGTAATAAAATTTTTGTTATTGAGAGTACGGAGACGTACGTCGTAGTTTTGTGTGCTGTTTCAGAGGATTTTTTATTTCTTGGAAAGTATAAATATTTATATTAGAAAAGGGGAAATGCGAAATGGAGACCTGGTGTTTTCCCGTTACCTCCAAAAGAAAAAAGGGAAAGGAAAGATTTTGAATTGCTAACTGAATTAGAGTAGTTTATATTTTATCGTCCACGTGCCGATTATTTGTTCCTGTGGGTCTAATATTTTATAAAGTAGGCTGTGATTGAATCAGCATAAAAATACTATAAAAATATTAAGAACGTTCATGGAAATTTGTATGTGGACCATAAAGCTTATGTGGACTTTTAATATTCCCAAAATCCCCTGAGAAACGATTTTGTCATTACAAATTAAAAATTATTTTTTTTTTTTTGGAACATGGATATAAAGATCTCCTTTGTCTCAGAAGAAACGAGAAGTGACAAATTTTAGATTTGTACCTAAATAAATTTCCTATATATATTTTCTATACCACGTGCGGATTGTTATAAATATATTCCATTCTCTGGGGATTAATATTTCATAAATGAGGTTAATATTTAATTATCATAAAAATGCTATAAAATTTTCAAGTAACCAATTTGTATGCGGACCATATGAACGTATTATAAATATTGATATTAGGTATACGTTAAGTTTTTTATAACCAGAAAATAATATTTAATACAAATATTTATTTTTGAAAATGGAAATATTGACCTGACGTTTCCCTCCAGATTTTTTATGTTCTTTTCTACGTTACTGCTGAGTGTTATGTCGATTTTATTCATAAAGTCCCTGAGGATCCATCATATTTCATAAATGAGGCATAAAAATATATTCTAAAAAATATATAACACATTTGGTATTAGGTTATAACCATTTTATTTAGGCCATGGGAGCGTATGATACAAATAATTCCAAATGAATATAATCATGGCCAGTGGAGCGTATGATTAATTTTAATGAAGACAATAAGTATACAAATAATTCTGTAACTCTGCTCTGTATTATGGGCATTTTATCCAGGCCAGGGAGCGTATGATTAATGTGGATTTTTTATAGAAGATAATAAGTATACGTTGCACTTTTTTCAAACGATTATCATCCACAAGAATAAAATCGATAAAAATCTGAATTTCAGGAATATATGTGTAGCCTTTTCAAATCCGAACCATATATCTTGATGTAGTTGTAGAATATTTTAATCTGGAGGCACATATAAATATTATTCCAGAATTTTACTTTAATTAATTATCTAAATTTTATTTAGGCCAGGGAGCGTATGATCAATTTAAATGGAGACAATAAGTACACGATTAATTCCATTGACCATTTTGTCTAGGCCCGGGAGCGAATGATCAATATTGATTTTTAATAGAAGATAATAAGTATACGTTTCAGGTTTTTTTTCGAACGATTTTCATCCACAAGAATAAAATAGTTTACTCTAGTACAAAAATTACTAGAACCTTTTTCAGATCTCTCTTTTAATTCAGCGGTTTTCGAAAGTTTACTAATTTTTATTTTTTGTACATTGTATCGGTTTTTAAATTTAAAACTTTTGTAATTTCCATTACCGTTTCCATTTCTAATTTTTGTTAATTTCGTTTCGAGTCGCTTTTATTTAAAATGTATTTTTGTATAAACAACATTTAAAAAAAAAATATCAATCATTTCGTTCATTTAATGTCATAACATTTTGTATCTATTTTAAAATTACATGCAGCAGTAGCAAATTTACAATTGCCAAACGGATTTGCATTTTAAAACAATCAACGATTTTCTCGGAGACTTTATGCACAATGTGAATGTTGATATTTTAGTGATTTTTATTGAACAATAAACACCACGATGGGAAATCTTCTGTTTTGGACTGAATGATGACAAAAAAAACAAAAATTATAGAATAGAATAATAAAAGTTGTTGTTGATTTGTGGTTGTCAACACCATAAACATTTGCTGTGGGAAACGTTTTTTTTTGGCTTTTGCTTCTGTTAATTTTGTATAGTTTGTTTTTTTTTCGCTAAATTTTCTCAATGATGGTTTATGATATGAACGAATTTTACGACGGCACAAGTTTAGTTTATGTTTTTATTTGTTGGCTGTGTCCATTGACTTGTTCAACTCTGTGGGAAAAAAACGTCAAAAGAAAACCTTTACAGACGTAGCGTAGCGTAAAATTAGCCATTGATTTATGGCTAATAAAATATTTTTAATTTAATGATCTCAATTTTGAAAAAATTGAAAAGTGTCCAGTGCAGAGTATCAATAACAAACAATGTATTAATTTATTATGCAGACTTTTTTTAACGTCTGTCATATTCGATTTTTTATGAGTCCAGGGAGCGTATGCACTATGTTGGGGGGCTTTTTATAGCTCACATTAAGTATACGTTATGTCGCACATCCTCTATATAATGGTTTTTGTTTGGTTAGACGTTTCATTTTATATTTAGAAATCGTGTTTATAAAAAAAATTGAAAAACAATGGAAACATAATATAACTACAAATGTTATAGATTTAATTGATTACATGATTTATGAAGGCCATCGATTTAGAGACTATTATAATGTCAGTTTTAATTATATTGCGATTCAAATAAAATAGAGTGGGAAGATTGGCAAATTTGGTTAACATTTAAAAAAATAATAATATGAATGGCATTGATAGTATTTATTGAACAACTTTTTGTGACATCTCTTCACAAACTTTCAAAATATTTTTTCTGCAAAACGCCAATCAAAATGTTTCCAATTATTAATTCCTATGGCTTCCAAAGTAAAAATAGACGTCTACGATTCAATATTTAAAAAAGTCCATTGTAGCATCGAAAGACCTTTGAAAATGTTTCAAGAGTCTGTCTGAAAAATGTTTAGAAAATCTTTCCCAGTACAGCTGGGTATGTATGAAAGTGAATTTGAAAATACTGTTGTAAAAAAAATTAATGATCTAAATTTTAATTAGGCTAGCGGGCGTATGATCAATTTTAATGAAGACAATAAGTATACAATTAATTCCAAAGGAATCTAATCAATGTACTCTGCTTTCTATTATGGCCATTTTATTTAGGCCAGGGATCGCGTTTCTTACTTATTACGTGTCTTCCTTTTTTGTACAAGAGTACAGAGGATGAGGTAGAAAGTCCCAATCGAACTGTAAAAATTGTTGTCTCACGAACATTGGTAAATCTTTCAAATCCATAAGCGAAATAAAAACGCACACAGATGAATAATGTTCAATTAAGCCTTTGAAAAAAAAAAAAATAGTAAGGAGAGTTCAAAAGTCGGACAGGCCGACTATATGATACCCTTCACCACATTGGTTGATTTGCTTTGGTTGAGACAGCATATTTGGATGACCGAAAAAACAAATGTGATCTATATAGACATTTGAACCAATAAAAAACCATACACACATCATTCTGAAATCTATAAAAAAATTGCATGCCAATCGGGCAGAATTGAATTTTTGTCTCAATTGGACAAATATTGGGGGTTTTGTGCACCATTTACCTAAAATCGGACGAACATATATATGGGAGCTATATCTAAATCAGAACCGATTTCAATAAAAACTCAAACTGGACTAAATTCAGTACGCTGTGCAAAATGTTGTCTCAATCAGGCAAATATTTTCTGTTTGGTGCACCGTTTACCTAAAATCGGACAAAACTATATATGGGAGCTATATCTAAATTTGAACCGATTTTTTCCAATTTCAATAGGGTTCGTCCTTCGACCAAATAAGTGGCATGTGCCAAATTTCATCCAAATCGGATCATAAACTGTACTTTGTTCACAGAACTACATGGACGGACGGACATGCATAAATCGACTCAGAAAGTGATTATATGCATATTCTCTCAAATATATAAGGAATTCTTGTTAAAAATGACCTTCAAATAGACCCTTCAAAATTTCAGTAATGATTACTGTTTCCTTCCTCGTACTTTTGTTCCCTAACTTTTTTTAAAAATCAAAACAAGAAATATTGAATAATTATTTTCCCCGCCAACAGCATATATGGCGGGCCAAAATCAAGTAAAATTGTTGTTGTTGTTTTCGTTTTGTAAAATTTTTATATATATTTAAAAGAAATTACCAAAATTATTAAGAAAATAAACTAAAACTGATGGGTCAACAAGGCCTCATTCGTTATATGGAATGAAAAAAACTGAACAGAAGAGAAAAAAATGTTTTCTTTCACTTCTGTGGAGGTGGATTGATGTTGGCTGGTTGGTTGGTTGAATGATGGAGGTAATGGATTTCGCTTTTGGTGGAGGACATGGCGATGGTGTGACGTAC